ATTTATATAAAATTTTATACAAACTTGGGTATACCGGATATAATTGATCGAATTTTTCGTTCCGGTATAAACAAGTTCTACTATATATTCCGAGTAGTACTCAGACTCGAGAGGCGAAAAATATATACGTAATATATATATCTGATTTTTTAATATATATTCAAAAAACTTGAGTGTAACTCCTTGCAAATTTTTATCTCAATTATCTCAAACTCAAAATTTTGAATTTTAATCTACTCGAGTATAATAACTTATCAATTAAGCTTTAAAATAAAAAAACTCTTTAATAATTAAATCGTTAATTATTAGAATTATTTCTATATATTTTTGAATATTGAAATAACTTTATTATTAAAATAATCATTTTGAGATTGAGATGAAATTGACGTAAGTTGAAATAACTTCATTATTGAAATAACCTTTTGAGATTGAGATAAAATTGAGATATAAGTTCGTAAGGAATCGAAATCACGATCTTTTTTACGGACAACTATATTATAAAACTAAGCTAGGCGTAAGGCGAATCAACAAAGTTAACCAATCACGCGAGCGCCAAGGAATTTAGCGGGAAATAGGGACCTCGACGTTGTACCGGCCAATAAGTACACTATCGATACCGGTATCGGTACTGTTAGAGTAGTGGCATAAATGACTCGCGCCCGTTGAAGTCGATCTTCAACGTTATTTCCCGCCACATTTTCGTTTTTGGAGAATTATGGAGGAAGAAAATTACTTTCAAATTTTCAATAGAGAAGTGAATTTTATGATTGGGTAATTTGGATTGGAGGAATGGAGCTAATAAGGTGGATACTAACGTGGCTAACAGACTTTACAAGCGGCTAAGACTAACCACTCGGTGTAACCGTTTAGGTTGCAGACTTGCATCCAACGATGAGCTAATCCAACGGTTTCTGGCTTATTGGTTCTGGTCGATTACTAGTCTGATTATTAGTCTATCTACTCTAGGGTCTAAAGTTTTTAGGGTCCAGAGTCTAAAGAGTCTTGAGGTCATGGATTGTAGATGATGAAATGGATGGGATTGTTGGAAGCTATTGCCGTATACTACTCGTACCATCTAAACTCACCTAACTGATTTTGGAGCGAACCGCATTTGGATAAAGTCAAGTTATATACAAGTCTAGTTTCAATCGCTTAAACTAACTAATATACAAATTTTAAACCAGATGAACCCCACTTTCCAGATTCAGCTTTTTGATCTGATCTGCAACTAGATCCAATACGGTTCGCTCCAAACTCAGTTAGTTGAGGTAAAACGGTACGTACTCGGTGTTCACCCAGGTACTTGGAATCGTGGATCACGATGACGATGCGATGGAGAAGGTTATGTAGATGGGGTTCCTGAATCGTGTTGGTGTATGTTGGGCGAATGCGATGCGAGGATTTGCCCAAAGGGGTGAGGGGTGAAGTTTCTGCCATTGTGGAGGAGAGTGGGGTGAGTAATGAGTGTTAAAGTTGGACATAAAGTTCCGAAGGTCATTCTTGGCTAGTATGTAATACGAAATGGATGAAATCATCGAAATGGTTGAAATTGTACTAGTAGTAATATGATTTGCAAATTGCTATATTAAACTAGACTTTTTGTAATTAGTAGACTGTCATTACATCAATGAATATATCGGTACTGAAATGTACCGGTAGTCAGAACTATGAAGTACCGGTATCGACACTTTTGTCCAATACCGCGCACTGATTGACACTTACATTTACCGGTACATTGACAATGTCGTTCAACCGTCAGGTCGGTTTCAAGACCATCACAGGATCATCTATTCATCCATCCATCTAGTCATGCCTGTCCGTCCGTAGACAAGAAAGTTTAGAGGAAAGGCGCATGCGCATGCACATGGACTGAGCTATTAATGCGTTGTGGTTTCAGATACCTACCTAGAGTAGACTATGTATGTATGTATGTGATATGTAAGTGTGTGTGGACTGATACAGTAACTCCCTCCACTGACACTGACACTGACACTGACAATGGCAGTTGAACGGGCACGATGAACGGGCACGAACGATGAATCAGATTGAATCGAATGACAGGAATGTCTGGGTCCGCTTGTCTGCTTGTCTGCCAGTACTAGGATTATACAATACTGTACCATGGATTTGCGAGGAAAAATACATTGATGCATTAATGTGGTTTCAGCTGCTTGATAGCGGTGCGGTCGGATATTGACGGTGCTGATGGATGGTGAGCTTGGACTGTTGCTTTGCTTTCGGGGAGGGTAATTGCTGGGGTTGTGGCCAACGCCCAAGATGACACGAGTGATCATTGATGTGACTTGAGTTGAGAAAGAGATTTTCGTTGTCGTCCGAGGTTTGAGGTTTGTTGCGTGGGTCAGGTTGGTTTAAGGAAGTAGTATCTCACAAGAGGCAACCATCAGATCTGCACCAGGCGGAGTTTAATTATTGTATTCTTTTGATTATATATATTAATTATGCTATTCTATCCCATCCATATAATCCTATCCATCATCCATTCATTAAATCGCTCAAGGGTATCTACGCATGCTTAACATTAACAGTACTAACAACAGCCCCCCATTCCACACTGTAGACAGTAGAGTAGAACTGTAACTATACTATAAATGACAAACTATAAATGACAAGATATATAAAAGTATATAAGTATTAGACACATGTAAAATGCGTTAGCTCACTCGCGTGCATAACTTGATACTGCGACGCTTTTGCTTGAAATTCGGTTCGATTCGTTCCGATCCGGCCTTCTTGATACAGCTTCTGATGTACACAAGAGAAATATGTATCTTAGAATCAATCCCATCTCTCTCTTATAGGTATCATCTCTCTTATCCTCTCCCTCTCTTTCTCTTCCCCCTCTCCCTTTCCCTCGTAAGTATTATATCTCTCTCCCCCCCTCTTCGAAGAGTCTTCGTCTTTTTTGTGACGAAGTCGATATCTCGAAGATCGACTGGGACTCTGAGTGGATGCAGAAACATTCGACCGGAATGTGACTGGAATTAAATTTTTGAAATGCAGGGGCTCTTGTTTCGGAAATGGTCCAGATCTATGATGTATTAATACAATGTAACTTTCTTCAATTCTCGACTATAAGCCCAACGTGGATGACATACCCTTAGCGATGACATAGCAAGCTCCATTATACCAAAATGCAACTTCCCATCCCATCCCATGATACTCAATCACATCAAAAGCCTCATAATTTCCATCCTCTCGTCTTTCGACTCCACAGGACTAAGCGGTCGAATAATCGGGGGCAACCGGATATGTAGCGGGCTAGGCGGCGCATTTAATGGTTGCGCGGATGTTCTTGGTTGTGGCGGTGGATATGGAGGTGATGTAGCAGGGTATTGGTATTGTTGGTCTGGACAAGGGCGTAGATCATGCCCCCCTGATTGACTCACAGCGCTCGGGCCTGAGGCGTGAAGATACCATTTTGGCGAGGAGTTGGAATGTGCGTGATTATTGTACGGTTTTCTTTCTAATGAAGGATGACATGACGATTGTGATTCGGATTCATATGAGTAAGGTGAAGGGTTGGGTCTGAACTGCCGCTGTGGGATACTAGGTCTTCGAGTATCGAAACGGTCGAAGGAGGATAGAGGGGGGAGTTCGCGCGAGGACGAGGATGCTACTCGAGGGGAGATGGAGAAGTTGGAGCCGGTGTCTGAGATTAAAGAAGGAGCACCGTCGAGTGATTCTGCTCGTGATGCTTCGGATACTGATGGTGATGAGAGATGACCGTGGGGTTTTCTTGAGAAATATGCGTCGACTGGGCGTGATGTGTCATAAGGATGAGAATGAATTGGTCGTGCGAATGAAAGGGTTTCAGATTGCTCGTTGAAGGGGTGTGTATGAGACGATGGCCTTCTACGTAGAACCAACCGACGTCTTCGGTTCATGCTTCCATTCCACCAGTTCTTGACGGCGTTGTCACTTCGTCCTTCAAGTCTTCGAGCAATCTCGGCCCATCTCTTGCCCATCTCTCCTACTAACCTTTCGATTTGAAGTCCTTCTTCTGGACTTATTGGATCATGGTTTAAGGTAGGTTTGAGGTTTTGATGGTAACGTTCTCGACATTGCTTTGGAGATCTTGAACCGATGAGTTGTGCTATTCTTACCCAATTCAAAGCTCCTTGTGTATCAACAAGTTTTACCAAGTAGGCATCCTCGGCTGGCGCCCAGGGTCCACGTCGATGAGGAGCTGACATTTGAAGGATGCTAGATACCAGATGGTGTGTGTAAGGATGACAGAGAGACCGAAATCGGAACCAAAACGAAGATGATGATCAGTCGTTGAACCGAGGGGCAAAGACGTTAGTATATAGGAGATCCGGTAACTGATCAACGGCCCTAAAATGGACTTGGACGTTCGTGAAAAGATGCCACAAGAGCGGTCAAGGTATCGAAAGAATGTCGAAGAGCTTAAGTGCAAGGTTGGGCTGCAGACTAGCAAGTGGATAGTCCTTTTAGAAAACACGAGGGATCAAGGTATGTTTTGGTCTGTGTGCCTTCGCTTGGGCCACGAAATAACGGGTGCTCAACAGTGTCTGCGACTACCCTTTTTTATAGAATCCTCACTCGGTACGGTACGGTACTTGGTCCTGACTCGTGTGGAAGACACTAAAGTTTGGCTGGTTCCCGGTTTTGGGATGCTTCAATATAGTCTCCTAATCTAGACTTCTGGTGGCGGCACTGGCGGGGAGAAAATGCGATCGTCTTTTGATGAAGGATAACCCTTTCAGTTGAAGGCGGGAAATAGGGAAAGAGTTTGAGCTAAGAGCCAGTCTGTGTGATCCAAATACAAATGGTTCGAAACGTAACGCTTTAATGGGTGGGTAACTGAGTCGTGTGGGATGAGATTTCCTCCTATAAGAGATGAAAGGGAACGCAGATTATCGAGTCGAGTTATTGTCGAAGATTTTTCGAATATGATGTTGCTTATGGAAGGATGAGTTGAAGTTATATTTGAGAACAGGAAAACGAATGAGATTTTATGAAGATGTAGAAATAGAATAGACAAGACCGGGCTGGAGATGGGGCTTATGTCTTGTAAAGTCTAGTCGGCGATGGGATGTATGACAATGATATACACTAGTCTCCAGGTAAGCCAGGGACGTAGGGGTTCTTACGAAAACATTATTGGCAGGCGTGACAACGATCAAGGTCATAACAGGGGGGTGACGGGGGGGCAGTGAGGATGCCTTCTTCTGGGGAGGGGTGATAAGTGTTTTGGTATAGGGTAGCACGGATCCTGTACAGCTTAGTTGCGATCGGATAAACTCAGGGTAGGGGCTTTTTTTGGGGAATTTCTGGGATAAGAGATGGGAGGGTAGGGATGATGGTAAATGGTGGGTTTTAGTCCAAGTGTCTGTGGTATACCGGTATGGATATTGGGCCTGGGATGATTGTATGGGGACATGTGTGGTCAGTGGATGTTGTGTTGTGCGGTGATATATAGTGGGTTTTGAGAATCGAATCAGAAATGTGGATGGTTTGTGCAAACCTGGGAAGAATCGTTTCGTCCCGCTGTTGTTCTTGGGAAACCTAAATTTTATGACTGAGATAGATGCTTTGAGACATATCTCACCTGCTCACTAAACCAATCTGGGTCCTTGAAAATATTGATGATGAATGATCCTCGTTGGCGTCGCGGGAAGGCTTCTGCACTTTACCCAACCTTTCGGGTCGTTCTTCCACCCCCCCCCCCCCCCTATCTTGACCTATATCTGAGGAATATTGATCATAATAACCATCTATGTCTTCTATGTTTACACATAGTAATCTTCAAAAGTACCTAATATCATACTGTAACAAATTAGATGTGAGGACTATACTTACAGAAAAGTATAGATACATCGCATTACAAAATTTTGTTTAGACTCTACATTAGACTAATCTTCAAATGGAAATAAACAGAATGATTATCCAAAATAAATAGCAAATACATTCATCAAAAAGATAAGGAAGAGAGCGGAGATGGATAATAATAAATAAGAAGAAGAAAAGTGATTTGGAGTTAATTACCTATATTGACCTAGCTAGTACAACCCGCAATGCCGCGATGTGTTGTTAAAAGCTAAAATTTGGCAAATATAGCGATGAAGATGAAGGGGGAAGGAGAGGTGGAATCAAAAAGCACTTACAGTACCATATGCTCGCCGGGAAATCCTTTTCCATAAAATGAGAGATTTGCCATTTTTTCGTTGAGCTCATTGAGCGATCTGAGGTCTAGGCTTTGTCATTGTCCGAAAGAGTAAAATAAACAAAAGGGAAGGAATTCATAGATTTTTCTAGATCAAATCCTTCTACTCAGTAGGTACCTGGTATTCTTCTCGCAAGTCTTTCTATTTTCTTCTCGAAATCTCACCTCAGTTCTATCATTCACCCATACCGGGTTACCATGCCAGCCATTCCATCTGCTATGCCTACAACGACAAATGCAAACCTGTCACTTGCATCAATCGATAAATCATCTCAGTAATAGATCTTCCCAGGACCCTTTTACTTTAGCTGAGAGATAGCGTCAATGCGATGCAACGGTTCGTAAAAGTGACGAACATCAGCAATCATTCAGCAAGGTACCATACATACCCAGCAGCTTTCCCAAATTTCAAAATCGTGATCCAAAACGCTTTGGGTTGTGGAACCGTCTTGGAGAGAGCAGCTGAAAAACAAAAACAAAAAAAGAAGATTAAGCTTGGAAGTACCAAGGTATATTCTCTTTAACTCTTTAGCCCTACCAATGAGTGATCATATACGATTGCGTTTGTATCTAATTAGGTCATTACCCTATTAGGAAATTAGAGAATGGTAAGGTGGTGATGGGTAGGTAAAGAACAAGAATATCGGATATCTTATTCCTTTAGAATTATCCGTTGTCATCTGGCCATGTGGTTACCGGTATCTCATCTCATCTATTTAGTTGGTAGCTACCACTTCTAAGGTTACCGGTATTCTCTCCCCATTATTCTGGATGCTTCGTACAGAGTAGGCTCGTGGCAACAATGTTCAATAATCTCCTTTTCCGCTCTTCATAAATCCCCTTAACCAATCACAACCTCAAACCGACCGCCAATTCCCATCGTCGGAACCCGAGAGATTGCACCCCTCACCCTCATCCGCACAATATACAATATACAATACATCCTTTACATGGCGGGCTTTAAATACGCATATCTTTTGATTTATACCTCTGCCTTCTTATTTGGGTGCGTGGTTACCTGGTTAGATTGCCCTATATTCCCTGTCATCAGCGTGTCCTCCCTGTTTCCTTTTCTTCCCTTGGGCCATTCACCAGCCAGTACATACATATAAATATTCTACATTTGTAACACACGACCTACTTTAATTCCCAACCATCCCCCTACTACACAACACCAAAGCCCGAGCCGCTCCGTCTGTCCGCCCTGTGGCTTTTCTTTGCATGTTTCCAGTAGTTCCTTCCGCTGGAATATCCCTTCCAAGTTCCAGCTTGTGTTTGTGCGGCCATGTGCTCAGGTGCGGGTTGCTGTGGTTTTGGGACAGACTAAAATGTTCAACACGGAATTCAACGGTGCGATGTGATGTGATGTGATGGGATCTCATAGCGCAGCGCATCACATCACATCACATCACGCCGCCCATACAGTCGGTACGGTAAGTACGGCAAGCCCTGGAAGATCAGTAAAGATGGGGTTATGCTTATGCTTAATGCCAATGCTTCTGCACCGCACCTGAACTTATAGGCTGCTGAATAGGCCAATGCATATCGTAAACTATTTATATACCTGTCAACAAAAGCCATCTGATGGAATAATCGAATTATTGATTTTTGTAGGCCAGGCAGATAAAATGCGAGGAATAGGGATGGAATAGGATATTTACGTACTCCAATCCGTTCCGCAATTTGATAGCATTTATTTCATATCACATCAACTCACCTGACAGAACACGGCCCCAAATATCGCTCTCTTTCTCCGATTCCCTAAGCCACGGCCAGTTCGCCGGGATAGATAGATAGATAGGGAGAGATAGATCCAAAAACCTAGATCACACAGCTTTCAACCGGGGTTCTTAATTATCTGTCGGGATTTTCCTAGACTACAGTATCATACTGTACAATGAACACAATGGATGATATTCCGTTTCCAAGGATAATTGTTTGGGACATGAATTACAGAACGGTACATACAAACCATAAGGGATACAAACCCATACCGGATTTGCATTTCTTTTGTGGAACCATCGATACCGGTACAGCTGGTACTCAGGGACTGAAAAGCGAGCTAGGAAAATAACAGCTACAGAGTAAATGACACTGCAGATCACTTTCCTTCCCGAATCCCGAGAGTGGGAATCTATCTCTTCAATATGTTTAGAGCCCGTTCGGCGTCCAGTTGACAGAGTTGATCAACTCATTTATAGAGTAAAAATATCTGCAAATATATATCCATTTTCTAAATCATTATTCGATATTCAATTGATAGAATATGATTCTATTCAGATTACTATTTCATTAGTAGATATACAAATAATATATCATTTTTATTATAAAAAATTCATTTCACAAAAATTCACAAAATTAAGTTCAAAACTGATTTTAAATATAATAAAATACTTAATATAACTAAACTGGTTTCTGAATTCTGATATTGAATTAATAAATTAGATTGAATTTTCGAAAAGTTTGATTAATAGTATAAAAGATTTAGAAATATTTTCAATTTCTTTTTATTATAATTTTATTAATAATAATAATTTATTTTTGAAAATTTAATAACTAAATAATTCAAATAATTAGTTTTCGAATAATATAATTTTGATTAAATTCAAATAAATATTTATAATTGAATAAAAGATTTAAAATTAGAATCATTTTAAACTCTTTATTTTAATAATTAAACGAAAAATCTTAGTTTTAATATTATATAATATTGGAAGTTGAGATTATATATCACATGTTCTATATCTATATCTATCTTACCTTATCTTACTCTATCTTACCCTACCTTACCCTAGTTCGGATAGATGCCTTAGATATTCATCTATTATATAGTTAGAGCTGTTCTGTATATCTCCTCTATATATTGTATAATATATCTTTTTATAGATAATCAATACTACTACTACTTCTATCACGCTATAAGGCATTACTTTCTAATAGATTATAAGTTTCGGTTTATAAAGCAATTGATAATTAGATAAAACAAAGAATTATATCATTACCAAA